AGTAGGACATGATGGAGGCTGACCTGAGAGCTAAATGCAGGGGGTAGGGAAGTGGCCCGGTGGGCCAGAAGGCTACCTGTGGAGGGGACTCTGAACTGCGTGTTGAAGAAGCACCAGGCAGCCGGGAGTGAGCAGGCTGTGGTCGCCTCTCATGTGCTCTTTAATCTTGTTAGTGCCAGGGCATGTTTGTCCTTTCATTTCTGGAAATAGCCGCAGGCTGGTCAGGGCCAGGTATTAGGAAAATGAGGATGTTTTATGAAGCTACTTAGCCGGTTTGATGGTAGCAGGGTTTTGCCATGGAGTGCCCCATGTGTGAGTGGTGTGCAGACTGGACCAGGAGCAGTTCATGAGCAGACACAGATAGTCAGGACCGCGGCTGAGCCCCAGGAGGCATCATGGACTGTGGTGGGCCCCACAGCGTGCACTGGTGTGGCTGTGGAGGAGCCGTGATGACAGTTCAGAGCCCGTGCACTGCAGTGGGTTGGTTGCCAGCATGGTGAGATGCAGCAGCTACCGCTCCCTGGTTGCTGATCGCACCCCGTCACTATGCGACCTCGGTGCTTCTGTTCTCACCGACTCCATGTGGTGTGTTTGCCCATTTTATGGATAAGGCAGCTGAGGCTCAGAGACCCTAGAGACTTGCTAATGAGCAGCAGTTAGGAATGACAAGGACTGACTTGGACTCCTAATTGCCAGGCTTTGCCAGGTTATGGGTTGGATTATGTTCCCCAGGATGGGTACTTGGGTGCTGGGATGTGTACTGATTTGGAGATGGGTCCTGGCAGATTGAATCAAGCTGGGATAAGGTCACTGGGGTGGGCTCCAATATAACAGGAGTGTCCTCAGAGAAGAGGAAGCTTCGGCACCCACACACATCAGGGAAGACCCCTCGGACAGGCACCAGGTCAAGGTCACGTGGAGTCAACAAGCAGAGTAACATGGCCATGAGCCGGGGAGTGCCTGGAGCCCCCAGGGCCTGAAAGGGGCAGGAGGGACCTTCCCCAGAGCCTGCCGTGGGCATGGAGCCCTGCCTATATCCTGGACTGCCAGGCAGGACGTTTTTGTTGCTGAACTGCCCTGTGTGAGGTGCCTTGTCATGACATCCACAGGGGACCCGTCCCACGGCAGAGTGCTCAGCTCACGTGAACCTCACTGCAGTGAACTGCCACGTCCTCACTCCAGACCCTCAGTCCCAGAGGTGGGGGAGAGGAGGGAGGGCCTACGGCCCAGGGACAGACTCTGAAGCTGTCCTGAGGGGTGTAGAGGAGAGCTGGCCACAGGCACAGTCACCTAGGACTTGGGGGAGGACAGGACTAAGGTCGGCACAGAGCGTGGGGTTGCATTCTTTGTCTTGTGAATTTAAAGAATGAAATCTCCAGACACAAAGGCGAGAGCAAAGTAACAGGATTTATTAGAGCAATAGAAAGAAGGTCTCCTGAAGAGGGGAGGGTCCCAAGAGGGGGGACACACAGCTGTCTGTTGTCCAGGGATTTTTATGGACTTGATTTGTCCACATAGATGGGTTATAGGGTTTAGAAAGGGGGCCAATCAACTCTATCTTGTCATTTTCAGTGGATCTGGAGAAAAGTGATTTCTAAGCTTTAATCAGCACAAGGGTGGGGGTGAGGGTCCTCTGGTCCAAGGGAAGTGCCTCTGTGGTTGTTCGTGTCTGTAGGCTGTTAAGGAACCGTACTTGTGGCTGCGACCAGCTGCGGTCAGAAGTGAGATTTCCCAGTCCTCTCTTTCTCCTTCCCTTCTCTGAGACTGTTTTCCTGGCTGCCTGTGGGTGGTCTGGCTTTCTGTCTCAGTGCTGCCTGAGTGGTGAGCGCCCTGCCCCTGCCCCTGGCTGTGGGTGATCTAGCTTTCTGTCTTGGTGCTGCCTGAGAGGTGAGCACCCTGCCCCTGCCCTGGCCTGTTTCTCCCTGGAAGGTGATGGTGCTCCACACCATCCCATAAGGCAGCCTGGGTGCCATGCTTGCGAGAGCGTGAAGTGTGGCCAGCACAACTGTGCATCCGAATTTTGAATTTTAGTTATTCTCATGAATTTAAATGTGCCCAGGGTGCCCAGTGGTGACTGCCATGTTGCACAAGCACACACCAACCTGGGGGATTGTATTTCAGTCCTCCTGAGTCTACTTTTGGTCAGAGAAGGTGATTTGAAGTGGAAGGGGACTAGAGCCAGCATTTTCAGGACAGAGGGTCCCGTGACAACCACGTTGGTAGGGGCAGTTCCTCAGAGCAGGTGGAGAATGTGGGTGAGGGCTTGGGCAGCACAGGCCCCACGCAACCCCAGCCAGTGGCGTGTAGAGTGCTGTGTTTCCAGTTACTCCCAGGAGGTAGCCCTACGGAAGGAGCGGGCTTCGTGGAATTGAACTTCTCCTAGTCTTAGGCAGCAGGATGATTCCATTCTGCCTTGCTGTCTCCTGGAAGCCCTTCAGAGAGGAAGAAGCCACCCTGTGGGCCTGCCTGGCTCCCTCCAGCCCGGCTGAGCAGTGAGTGTGCTCAGCTCTGAGACTGAACACATGTCTTCCTGCGCCCGTGGCTAGTGGGAGTTGTCAGGATTAGATGGAAGCACTGCTTTGAACACAGATTGTCGGCCTTTAGGAACATCAAGGTGAATTCTGCCATTGGCTGTTAGTGATTTCCCTTGATCCTTTGGTTTTGCTGTGTGGAGTTGAATAAAAAGCTTCTTGTGTGTTCAGAAAGGGATTTGTGATCATGGCAGGGAGTGAGGGACCCTGTGGAGAGAGCCTGGGACTGTGGGGCTTCGTTGGCTGGTAGCAGCTGGGGCGGGTGGGGGTGGCCAGGAGTTGGAATGGGAGGGTCCCACCATCAGGCCTCCTCTGCTCATCCTCCTGCTGCTCCTACAGGAACGAGCGCATGTTGACAGCTGTCCTCCCTACACACTGGCCCAGGACACAGCCCAGCAGGAGGACTCCCTTCAGATGGGGGAGAGGTGGTGTCCTGTCAGACCACCATTGAGTGGGCCCTCTGAGTGAGTCTGTTGCCTTCAGAATCCCCTCATCTACCATGGTGGGAGTCCTTACTGCCACGGCGTCTGTGGTTGGTAGAGCCCTGGTTCAGAGGGTCCTGGCAAGCGCTCAGGCTGCCACACTGAGGAGGAGGGAGATGGCTGGGGGCAAGTGGCAGAGCTAGACTGAAGTGGGCCACCGGCACCGACTCCCGAATCCCCCTCACCCACCTGCTCCCAATAACCCCTGGCCACTCCACAGTCACCTGTGTCACTCCCACTTAATTTCCATCTGGACACAGCTGTGCCCACGTCAGGGTGGAGCAGGGTGTTTGGCGCCTGGCCACTGCTCGGCATCCTCTGTGTGCTCTGAGGGACGTCCGCTGTGAGGCTGGGACTGAGGACTAGCGTTGGGGTGTGGGAGGGACACTGAGTTCCTTCCTCAGAAACCCGGACCTAGCACAGCCTCCTGGTGGTTCTGCTGGGGTGGGCTGTGGTGGGCCGGTCAGCACTGTCCCCTCTGGAAGCCGGCAGGGTATTGCCCGAGGCAGGTTCTCTGGACAGGCAAGCTTGACCATGGGACTCAGTAGAACTTCCCAAGGACACGTGCATTTCCAGTCTGCAGGTGGATCAGCACGCTGCCTTTCCACCTTACAGGGCGTTTCACGTCTTCTGAGGGCGACTAGCTACTGGGCCTGGCCTTGGCTTGCAGGCCCTTTGGAACGTGCTGGGAATGGGATGTGCAGAGCCCTCACCGCGGAGTGGGAGGGCAGGGCCCTGAGGTCCGAGACCACTGGTTTTCAGTTGTGTGTCGGGGAGGGGAGAGGAGAGAGGGTGTGTGCACACACATCCTGGCAGGGCAGGGAGAGCAGGATATCAGGAGTGACAGGCCCGGGGAGGGCATGGTGCCACTATGGCATATCTACTCTGCTACTCTCCTCATGCTCCAGGGGCTGATGATTGAGGGTCTTGCAGGTGCTCACTCTGATGCCACCAAGCCAGGATTTCTGAACGTTAACTTCGTATTTTGCTCGGCACTTTGGTTACTAATTTGATTATTGCTTTATTTTACTTTCTGTTAGGGTTAGTCAGGGTCGACAGTGGGCAGTGCCATCTTGCGTTGGACAGTAGCATTAGGAGAGGGTTGTTCTTTTCTCAGCATGGGAGAGCTGGAGAGGGATGGAGGAGGAGACCCTGTGTTTTCCTTCACGTCTGTGAGGCCTTCCCTTCTCTGGGCCAGCCTGAGCTGGTTGAGGGCTCCTGTCAGGATGGTGCTTCTTTGGGTTCCCGGGCTCCCTCTGCCTGGCAGGCATGGCTGTTCTGTAGGTCCTGTGGGCCTCCTGGAGGCGTGCTGTGGTTCCTCTGGGGCTGAGGGATGCTGCTGCCTCATCGCCTGGAACACGTGACATGGAGGTTCAGCCCTGCCCTGGTGTTCTTTAGGAAGCATGATGGTAGATTCCCGCGGAGACCTCTTGTGCTGCAGATTTTTGCAGCTGGTGCTTTGCATTGTGGGGCTTTCTTGGAAAACCATCTCCTGTTGTTACCATGCCTGCCTGCCACTGCCCAGCTATGGGTGTGGACACAGCCTTTCTCTTCATACCAGCTCATCCCTGATGAAAGTGCCTGGGCTCAGATCCTCAAAGACCTGAAATGAGGTCCCAGCGAGGTGCCACTTTCAGGCTCTAGATGCATCTAATATTTTAAAAGCCACCATAAAAATTGGCAGGCCCACTTACCTTCTGTCAGCAGCCCCTCGAACACCATTTTGCCATCGCTCAGGAGCACATCCCTGAATGGCAGCCTCACCGTGGAGCATGTGTGCAGGCCGCACTTACCTGATCAGCCTTACTGATGAGAAGTGTATGTTATCAGCACTTCTGTGCCACTTAACTTGCCAGACTGTCCTGGGCATGTGGACCTGGTTCAACATTGAACAACCTTATTAGAAAAATGCTTGCAACAGTTAATGAGATGCCTCCCTCTGCCCGAATAATAACCAAATGCATTTTATTTATTTGTTTTGAAACAGGTTCTGCCCGGCATTCTGCAGAAGCATTGCTGTGTGCTACCAGACAGGAACACAGGTACCCATTATTCTTCTGATTTGTGGCCACAGGCTGCATGTCTGCGGCAGTATGGAGAGGTGTGATGCCTGACCTGGGTGTTGTGGGCTTTTAGTGCAAGATGATATGTTCACTGAACAAAGCCAAAACCAACATCTCTGTTTGTGCAGTGGGTTGCAAGCTGAGCGCAGAGGTCTGTCTTTGCTGACGCAGGACTTAGCAGACTGATGTCCTGGACTTCTAAGGGAAGCTGGTGGTTTTATAAAGTGGAATTCATTGGTTTAAAGCTGTTTCATTCGCTCATTGTACTTATTTACTAAGAGACCCACTGTTGGCTTGTGTGGGTGTGTTTGAAGCCCACCGTCGTGGGGCTCTTCCTTGGCCACGTTAAGAACTGGCTGCAGGTCATCTCCTGGGGTCTTGGCAGCCACCAGCAGGTGTCCTGGAGTGGGACCTTCCACGCTGTGTCTGTGCAGTCCCTCACTGTGGACAGACCTGTGTGGCTGCATGTCAGCTGGGTGCTCTAATTGCTCCTGAGGAAACACAATGGGCATAGAGGGTGTAAACCCTTTGGAAGGCTGTTGTTTCAGTAAGAAAGAGGAGATTGAGTTGGCCTGGGGCAGGTTATCCTGTGGATAGTGTTTTGGTTGCTCGTTTCTTGGAGCTTCTAGTGTGAGTTGTTTTCATCAAAGAAACTGCAGTCTGAGGAAAGTCGGAGTGTGCGTCCTCCTCCTTGGGAAGGCTGCCTCTGTCTGGTTGGTGTGTGCGGCAGGATACTGCTGTTGGTAAGAAGCAGGTCTGCTGACCTTACCTTACTATTTTCTGACGGACACAGAATTGAGCACCATGCGCTGCTGGGTGATGGTCAGTTGGATTTGCTCTACTGTGACATGAGTGGCATCCTGCCCAGCCAGCTTGCAAGCGCCGGACTGAGGGGCTGAAAGGCACAGTTAATGTCACGCATCCTGGTGAAAAGTGTAACAGGGAAACAGGGCTTTATCTTTTACTTAGGAATTGGGTGGATCATGCTACCAATCACATTCTTTTTCAAAATATTTATGGAACTGTTCATGTTTGGTTTTTAGCCACTGAAATATCTTGGCTATGAATTTGAGCCTATTTCCTGCTTCTAGAGAAGCAGGTTTAGAATGTGTTTGGGTGTTTTTGAGCCTGGTGATTCTCTGGAAGTCTTTATCAGCAGTGAGAACACGAGCGCGCCACATGCCAAGGACCAAAGATGGCTGCAAACCCTGTTCCCCACCAACCTGAGTCTCACAGGGAGGAATTTGCTTCCAGATCAATCCCATGTTCCAGTCACTGCTCTGATCGTGAGACACATGTGAGCCATGAAGAAGCGCGTCAGTGTTAGCTAAGCAAGGTCCCTTGAGGACGGTGGTGATTTTAAGCACTGCAGTGAGTTCTCGCACTGTGTTTTGTGCCGCACTTCATGATGGTGTGGAATGTATTACCACCTTGAGGTGCTCTGTTGCCCTTAGCCCTCAGGCGGTCAGGCCACCTCCGCTGGGGCTTGACCAGGACTCCGCCTAGGCCATTCCTGGACATGCTCTTGTACCATGATGTGCTTCACCTGCATCAGGTTGTGGGAACCTGAGGTTCAGTGTGCAGAGGGAATGAACTGCCTCCCATGGGAAGGAGAGGTTCTGGGTGAGTTGTCACTCTTCAATGGACAGAGGTACCAGAGCTTCCGTTTAACCACCTGATGGGGTCTGAGGTGTGCAGGGCTGTGTGATCACAGGAATGCTGCTGGGAACCTGTGGCTGCTCTGCGTCTCAGTGGCATGTCAACCTCCTTAGGAACACGAGCAGTGTGTTCGACCCTCCTGATTTCACAGATGAGCTTTCACAGTTGGTTAAGGAGATTAAAAGTTCTGCAGGTGGATGGCGATGACGGCTGCGTGACAACATGACTGTGCCTGATGCCTCCAAACTGTGCCCTTCAAAGTGGTTAATATGAATTTTATGTTCTGCGTATTTTACTACAATTTTAAAAAAGATCTACTTCGAGATGAGCCGTTGCTTCTATCTTCTGTTTGATTCTTCCTTATTTTAGAAGTGCTGTCTAAGCCCTTAGCTGTATATATAGTGTGTGTCCTGAATTAACAGTGCTGCCTTTGAAAGACACAGTCTGCTCTCAGGAGAACTGAGGACAGGCAGGGTCATGCTTCTTTCATGAGGGAGGAGCATGGCTACAGACGCTGTCCCTTTCCTGGAAACACAGACCTAGGTGCAGGCAGCTCTCGGGGAACAAGGCTGAGGCCTGGATGTGCTTGAAGGTGGTGCACTTGCCTAGCGAGCATGAGGCCTGGGTTTGATCCAGCCTTTACATGCCAACATTCTGCCTTTTCTTCTTCTGGTGACGTCCGATTGGCTCATATCGTGCCTTGGGTCTTGAGCCTGGATGAAAGCCCCACCGTGAGGCTGGGGGGGGGGCAGGAAGGGCTCTGAAGCAGGGCTGTCCAGGAGGCATGGCTCCTTGGCAACTGGGCTCTGCTGGTGTTTGGGATCCCCTGGTCACTATCTCTGCCTGAACCCAGTGCCAGCCCTTACTAGCACTGGGTGCTGATGAGAAGTGCTGCTGGCCCGTCTCCAGACACTCTGGGCAGGCTATGACAGGAGGGAGCCAGGGCCCTGTGGGGCCGCTCCTGTATCCTGCATGGCTGGCGGGTCTTGGTGGGCTCGAGGCAGTGCAGGCATATAGCCAGTCCCTCGTGGATCTGGAAGCCTCTGTGGGCAGCGGCTCCCGTGCATATCCTGGGCTGTGGCTGGTGCTTCCTGGGCTGTGCCCATCCCTACTTTGCAGGCCATTTTCCCTGCAGGCCACTGTGGCCTCCTACAGTTGCTTCCTTGCTTTCCATCCCTACCTTCCTGGGAAGAAACCTCTGCTCCTTGGTGCAGAGTGCAATAGCACGTTGATTAATCTCTCCGCGTGGGCTCTTTCATGAGAGGCTGTGTGCAGCTTAGGTGTGAAGAACACACCAATGGAACTGCACGTGAAGGACGGTGGCAGACTGTGAGCATGTGTTTCCTGACAAGGAGGTTCACAGGGGAAACAGTGTGGATTATTTTGTTCTGAGAGTTTCTGTCTTCCTTGTCTCGGTTGCCAATGGGGTTTGTTTCAGAAGTGCCTGTTGTTGAGGAGTCATGCTCATAGGAACCTGTGTTGCTTTGCCTTGCATTCAGGCTGCTCTGAGGAGAGTGTCGTGGCCTCATAGCCCTTACCCTGTGCTCATCGGGAGAGTGCCTGTCCCCCAGCCAAGAATGAGAAGTTTTAGGAATGAGCTGATAGTGAGCAGGTCAGCCATTCTCTCCTTGCAGACTGATGACAGAAACCAAATGACGAGACCTCAGATAGGTTAAGCATGGGGTGGCACTTGAGTTTTGGAGTGCATTGGGTTTCTACTTGATAGTGGATGCCAGGAGCCCATGAAGCACTGTGTGTTAAAAAGTGGGTGAAAGGTGTTAGTGTTTCCCATGTGTTTGTGGGCCTGCTTGTTGCTTATTTGCAAACACCTGGTAAGCTTACCTGAGATTGAGCACCACCATCCCAGGCATTGCGTCTGGCTGGGTTGACGTTGGTCAATGTTGAATAAAACTCCCTGGGGCCAGGTCAGGGAGGGAGGGCAGGACCCTGATTTGTTGTGTTTGTTGGTTTCTGGGGTTTGAATGATCCCACCAGGGTCTGTTTCAAGCTGTGCCATGCTGAATAGGGTGGGTGGTGCCCTTACCATGTCAGTTCTCTTGAGCTGGCATGTTAAGGCCGCATCCTCACGTTTGCCAGGTACAGCCTTTCCATGGCACGTTCCTGAAGGCCCTCTGGGGACTGCGCAAAGCCTTCTTGTAGACCAGCTAAACAAACCCGTGACGGAAGTTACCATTGGCAACAGGGTGCTGAATTTTGCAACATCCTCGTAGGTCCTGTTGGATGTCAAGTGCACACACACTATTCCACAGGCTCTGTGAAGCCATCAACCTCATCAGACCTCAGCAAGCAGTAGGGCTGGTGACAGGGAGCAGTGCTTGGGCGGTTCACAGATTCAGCTCAAAAAGGCAGAGGGCAGTCTTTGTTGAAGTAGTAGGAAGGGTTGCATTTACTAGTTCTAAAGCCCCTGAATTTCTTGTGAACTGAAGATTTTCAAGGCTTTTAATTTCTTGGCAAACAAGTCCAGGAGGATCAGCTAGTGAATTTGCTGGTCTCCCCCAGCCTGTTGACAGGGTGGCTCACAACTGGGCAGGAAGCACTGTGCAGTGAGGCCAAGGGCAGTGAAACGCCCTTTCACTGATTTCCATCAGCCTGCAGGTGATCCACAGAGTCTGCAGGTAGGCATCACTCCTGGGTCGCGTGTGAGCTCCGGCTCTAGCAACACATGTTCTGTGGCACTCCTGGGGTGGTTCCTGACTACAGGCACCTCACGACTGTGGTGGTGCCCACCTGGCGATGAGGAAGAGACCCAAGGCACCCACTGTACACACCTATGACTTCAGTGCGGGTTTCTCACTCTGCTGGCCTGTGACACCGTGAAGACCCTTACTAAGTCCTTCATGATCCACATGCAACTTGTCTGTCGAAATGGTGCCGGGTGAGGTGATGTGGATGAGGAAGTGATGCTGGTGTGAATGAAGGGGCAGTTGGCTGGCCTCTGTGGCCCAGGACCCCAGAGTCGCAGGCACAGAGGGTGCATGCTGAGAAGGTGATCGTGTACACAGTTTCTCCACTGGGAAGGTCTCTGTTGGCCATGTGCCAGGTGATGGCATTTCAACTCTGGGCTGAAGTCAGATTTCACTTCTTTGAAAGACTACATATTTCAAGTAAATTTCTTTTTACCCAGATACCGAAGTTATTCATAGACCTTTCTCTGTCCACAAAGAATCAAGGTTGTGCATGTAGAGCGCCATGTGCTGATTCTCCAGCCAAGAAAGATGAGGGGTGTCTGGGTTGGGGGAATCCAAGTAAGTGCTCCAGCCACGGGGTCCTTCCCTATGCCCTCTCTGGAGGGCCAGTGT